TTAGAATTCTTTATATCAATTCATTTCTCAACATCTATTTTCATAAAGTCATACATCCATATCATAGTAAATCTTCATACTTCATACAGTCAAAACATATCAATCATCATATTCAATCAGCAACTCAACGAACATGCATCCATTCAAAACGAACGTAGAAACGAACATACAATCAAATTATATAAGCTTCCCTTACCTCTAAGCGTGATCGAACGTTCACAGTTCAGAATATGGTTCACCTTTACCAGAGACCTTAGCGTTCTACAATTACACCTTAAGAAACTAAACCAAACAGAAATCCAGAAACTCTCAGAACAAGATGATTGACTCATGCAACCCATAAACTAGGTTTGCATGTATCAGGAAACCAACCGGCTGAAAGAAGAGAGAACTTACCAACTAAGAACCCGGAACTGATCGGTTCAAACGAACGTCCTCAACGGCGGAAATGTTTAGGTGTGGTCTGTTTGATGATCGAAAGAAGAATAGAGTGAGATTTTGTAGAGAGAAGTAAGAGCTTTTTAGAGAGAAGTTGGAGAAAAATGAAGTTTCAAAAGATTGAAGAAGGTGGTTGCATGCAGAGATTGGCGTGAATTTTGAAAAACTAAGTTTTACTTCTACGTACCGTCAAGGACGAACGACCACTCAGCTGCTCACATCTGTCCCCCGCTTTCTGATTTCCAGATTTTCTTTGCTTGACACTTGACGTCTGCTCAGATGAAGTTTTGGGTACGTTTTTAATGAGGTCTGACAAAAAACGACAAGGTTAAGGGAAGAAGCATGGTTATATATATATATATATATATATATATATATATATAACGACGGTTAACTGAAATTATGGTCGTTATTTTGGTTTCCAAGACGTGTACGTATGCACAATGTCTTCTTCCTACTTTGCATCTTCAACATACAATTAATGCTCGACATAGTTAATATAATTGTATTGAATTTTATTTTATCTATACTTTTTATATTATAAAAACTAAATTACTTATACCAAAAAACTAAATTATATTATTTTTTTGTTCAGTTTAAAAAAACTGAACCTTTTGCATTTGTAGTTCAATTAACTACTGACAATCCATTATTTATTATTTCATCTCATAAACGTAACTATTCATTTACTTAAATATCCACTATTTATTATTTAATCTTATAATTATTATTTTTATTTTATTAAAAAATAAAAATTGACATAGACCATAAATATTTTGAATATCTTGTATTATATGGTATTATAGTTAAAAATAAAAGCGTTTATATATATATATATATATATTTCTTTTTTTCTTTCAAATTATTTAAAAAATACGTTTTATGATTAAATTAAATTATATATCTAATTTGTCTTTATAATTTATGATATATAAAAAATGAAAGGTTGTGAGCAAATATAATTTAAAGGTAAAACGTTAAATATATTTTATATTTTGTAAGAATAATTTATGATTAAACTAAATATGTTTTTGGTCTGGGAGCTGAGCTGAACCCAAGTTTTGAAGAAAGAAAATTAGGAAAAAGAATTAAAACATAAAGGAAAAATAAAAATAAATAAAATTTATTAGAATTATATGTTAATTTTAATTATTTGTTTATATTGAAAATATTATAAAGTTATTTATTTTTATTTATTTAATAAGATTTGAAATAAATCTAAAGTATTTTCCTGAGGTAAGAGTAAACTTTTAAATAAAACAATCCAATATTTTATGTAAAAGTTATATTCTGCACGTAATAGATGATAGAAATAATATTTTCTATGATTTGTATAAATTCTAAAAATATATAATTTATCTTAAAGACAAAAAAACAAAGAATAGTATTTAAAACCCAAAATATAATATCTACATTAAAGACTGTGGAAAATTTGAAAAAAAATTAATCAGTATTGTAAAACTGACATATATATACTCATATTCTGGACAGATTTAATGATTAGTTAATTATATAAGTTCACTTTTTTTTTAACTGAATTCTTAAACAATACCGTTTATATATCTTTTAGTTTATTAAAGGGTTAAATATGTTTTTAGTCCCTAAACTATTGGCCGTTTTTTATTTTCATCCCTCTTTCAAAATAAGGTACAATTTGGTCCTCATTCTTTTCGGAACGTTCGTTTTAGTCCTCGAAAACTAAACACTGTTTAAAAATTTGGTCCTCATTTAGCAACAAATGAGGACTAAAACCAAAATTCCGAGGACTAAAACGAACGTTTCGAAAAGAATGAGGGTCAAATTGTACCTTACTTTAAAAGAGGGACGAAAACCAGAAACGGCCAATAGTTTAGGGACTAAAAACATATTTAACCCTTTATTAAAAATATAGTTAATTATAATTTAGTATAGTTAAGTTATTTATGCCCCAGTGACTTCACTTTCCATTATTCACAATTTTGAATGCACAATGTATTTAAAATAATATAACACTATCCAAAAATATAAACTAATATGTAAAAACATCTAATAATATTTTTTCTAGTTACATAATTATTTACTAAATCTTATTTTAAAAAAAATAAAATTAAAATAAGTCCTTTAAATTATAATTAATAAAAATTTTATTTTTTACTTAAAATATTTAATCATATTTATACATTTTCTAATTATTAAAACTTTTAGAATCTAGATAAAAGTAAATTTTAATTATCTGAAAAATGTAGATGATTTGGTTTATAATCAGTGAAGAATGAACTCACAGTCACCATGCTGTCATAATTAGTCTGGAGCGGGATCTGCAAACTTCATGCATTCAAGTTTCATATATATATATATATATATAGGATAGCAATTTTTCTCGCGAAGGATATTTGCGAGCAAAATTCGTGACGGGTAATAACTATTTGCATATATATAATTTGATGTAAATAAAAAAAGTGAATCTCTTGTTTCATCCAAATAGTATTTCAAGACATGCTTATGATTGCAAATTAGATACAGGCTCATATTTGTTGCTACTTGGACATATCCATCACAGTGTGTAGTCCGCAATTAGAATGAATTACAATTTACGAGAGAGAGTTTGTTTTTGCACCTCCATATTTTTACGTACTTTTATATATTTAAATTTTTTATTTTTTGTTTCGGAATTTATAACATAAAAACGTTTTACACAATTTTCAATATAAAAAATATATTCCAATCCAAAATACAATTTGTATATCTTCAAATGTACAATTTAAAATACAATCTTTGTATTTTGAATTTATATTCTAAAATATATAATAAAAAATATATTCTTGATTATACAACATATTGTATAACATATAATGAATTTGAACAATCAAGAATGAAAATTTTTCATTTCAAATTACATATTTTGATATATAAAATTTATATTCTAAATTGTATCTTTAAAATGTATTTTTCATTTTGTATTATTAAATACATGATCCAAAATATAAAAATTGTATTTCGAGTTATACCTTCTAGAATACAAGGGCATATTGTATAATCTATAATATACTTTTTATATTTTGAATAATCACACTTTAAAATATAAAATAAAATATACATAATTTAAAATAAAAAATTCATAGCAAATTAAAATTATAAGGATAGAGGGAGAAGTAACCGTAATCTAAGAACTGCTAACAAGAATGTAATGGAGATGTGACCTAATATTAATACAAAAATATTATGGAAAAAATAAAGTATTAAAGTATTTAAATAAAAATTAAAAGATTTTATATCAATGCATTTGGAATATTTTTATTTTATTTAATATTTTGTATTTTGTTTCTTAATTTAATTTAAGTCACATATGACATAGATTTCGATTGAGTTAATTATTTAAAGAAAATTAAGGTGTTTTTTTTCTAAAGAAAGAGTAAGCACTCATAGAAATAATGGAAAAAAGAGACACAATGAAAATTTATACAATGTTAGAGAAAATCTAAATTTTAATATATTCTTTAAATTTAAATATGTAATATTTGTTTTGGAAATTCAATTTTTTATTACAAGATTAAGATGCAAAATTAAACAGAGTTTTGATGAGTCAAAATCCTGAAGGAAAAAAATTAGGGTTATGAAGTTTCATTAAGAAAAAATGTAATATATGAAGATATTTGAAATTCTTTTAAACATTTTCCTCCATTTAAACATGACATCATTTTAGATTAATGTATAAATAATTAAAATTTTAAGATAATTATAAAGAATCATTTGAAACAAATATGTACATATGTGATGAGAATTTTAAAATTAAATCAAACCTTGCATTGATAGTAGGTAACCTTTATTTTTTATTTTTTATTTGTTTACAATGGTTATGTAAAGAAATGTAAGTGTATGTTGTTTACTTATACTACTTGCCACCACACAATAATTTCATCATTCTCTTGCATTGAGTTGCAGTTACTAGCAGGATATATAGACTTAGGAATTATTGGTGGTATTTGCGTATTTGTTAATTATATTATTTATTGAGTTATTATTTTTTATGGTATGCAAGGTAACATGAAAAAAATAATACAAAATAATTATATTCTTTTATGGGGTATGAAATTTTTTTTAATTCTTATTATTTTTATTATTTTTTTTAACTTTACGATAATCAATTTAAATTATATATAGATATAAATCTTCCTTTAATATTGTGACATTAAATTAAACTTAAACTCAAAGTCCATTTTAAATTAAGTTCCAAATTAACTAAAAAAAACTAATTTATAATATATACTTGCAAATCATTTAGTAGTGAGATCATTTCTAATGTTTTTCTTTTACTTTATGTGACATCGCCTCTGGTTTTCACGCTCAATAAAAAGGCGTGATTTTGTATAAAGAAAATTGAAAAGTAAATTTTAATTTGGTTTGCAAGGTGGATCAAAAGCATCTTTTTCTCCTAGTTTTGCATTTCGGGATTTGAATTTTGATCAAAGCTATAGTAAAATTTTGCGATATGTTAAAAGGTAAAAATCTACATAAACAAACGTAGCAGCGACATGCAAGCGCTGCAAAATCTGGTTACCGCTGGATTTATATACAATCCCCTCAACTCTAATTCATCTCGCTTGATTAGATTTACAGTTTCCGAACAAACAATAGAATACAACAAGGTCGATAGACAAGGAAAAGGAAAAAGAAAAAGAAAAAGAGAGTGAATGATGAGAAACATAGTAAGATGTTCCCTGTGAACTCTATTCTACGATAGATAGAAAATCATAGAATTACAAACCAAATGATATGTTATTAAGATAGCTGACTCTGTTGTTGTTGTTGGGTTTCCATTTCTTTCTCTGATTTCTCAGTAGTCACGTGGTGTTGGAGGCTGTGCTCAAAATGGCTGGGAAGTGGACGAGAAACAGAGGAGGCTTTGGGGGTGGCCAAGAATGTGGGTTTCTCATCTCCAGCCATAATGACCAGAATCTTATCCTCGTACACGGTAACAGATTCCTTGTTCTCAGAATCACCCTGTTTCTCACCGCCGCCGTTCTCCATGTTCCTTTCACGGTTCTCCTCGTTCTCCAACGCACCAGAAATTTTCCAGTAGGAGCAAGCCAAGATCAAGAGAGCGAAGGCTATGAGACCAAGCATGGCGGCGAGTCCTCCGAACAAGTACGGAACGGGAGAGTGCCACGTGGGGTGCGGAGGAGTGGTTAATGATGACGTGGCGGCTGTGGGTGCGGTTGAAGTTGAGGTTGTCGTGGTGGGTATGCTCCTCATTTTAGGTAAAGTTAGAAAATCAAAGCTTATAGAGTGTGAGGGTTTTGGTTTTGGAAGAGAGGTAGAATAAAGAAGGTTAGAAGGTTAGGTTGTAAGGGAAGATTGGGGAGTGAGTGCTATTTATAAAGAGAAAGTAAAGTAGGTTATAGCTTTCTGCTTTGGGTCACGGACTTCATCCTGTTTTGTTGGTGCAAGATAGATATAACTTGCAGGGCAAGGGTGGTACTGCTTTAGGGTACCCTTAAGACTTGCACCATCAGCAGCAGCCCACGACTACCATTTTTTTTTAGTGTTATTTAACTCTTTATACAGAGGGAGGAGGGAGAGAGCATGCATTAGAACAGAACTCTGTGCTTGATAATGATAGATACAATGCATGATGTCATATGGAGAGAACATTTGCATTGTTTTAAAATGTGGGTCTAAAGAAATAATTAGATACAGTAATTGTTATGTTGCTTTTAGAGATTCTTAGTTAGTATTTAATATCCTCCACTGAAGCAGATTTAATAATGCATTTGAAAGGGATTTATGTAAGATTTTGAAGTTTTATGGAAGATATTAGAATGAAAAAGAAAGAGTGTTATGGAATGTAGGGTTTGGGTTGCGATCTAAGGCAACAGTGAAAGCGCACTGGGTGGTGTATGATTAGACCTGAGTACAATGAAAGTAGCGAGCATGATGAAGGAGGGATAAAAGAGAATAAACAATGTGGGGAAAGTGGAAACAAAGCTGCTGCGGTTTTCCTTTAGTATAATCATTTGCATTTTGGATTTGATATTTTGTGCGAAGAAATTTGGGTTCTTATCATCACTATTGATTATTCACTCTTGTTTCGGTGTAACTATGAAATTTAGGACTATGGGTGCAAGTGGTTGTCCACGAATATGCTTGAGGGGTATATTCGAATGAATAATCTGATGTGATGTAATATTAACCCTTATTCATGGCTCCACAGATTGCAGATTTTAATCGACGGTTTGGGTATACCTGATGAGACAGACACCAGATTATATATATCAACAGACACCTGATGAGACAGTGAATGGATGTGTTTATATGCACCTTACATAGTTTCTGGTTAGTGATAAATAAAAAACAGACTTTGTAATAAAGATAAATATTTTTATTTAATACCTATTTTGGTCCCTACTTTTATGGGTTTGTTTTAAAATGATCTTACTTTTCAAAAAAATTCAATAAGACCCCGTAATTTGTTAAAAAATGCCACAGTAGCGCAACCGTTAAAAATCTAACGGTACAAATGCCACCGTAGCGCAACCTTATTGAGTTGTCAAGTTTGATGAATATGTGGATGTTACATTGTGTAAATATTAAAAAAAATTTAAAACTTCATCTTCCACCTTCACTGTGAATTTAGGTTTTTTCCCACGTGACAATTAGAGGTCGTCGTCTCCTTCTTCCTCCCCCTCTCCCTCTCCTCCCCACAATAAAAAGCAAGGGTTACATAACTGTTGCTTGCAAGTCCTACTAACATGGAATTAGCATGCAAGTCCTACTAACATGGAATTAAATCGTCGCTTGCTCTTTCTACCTTTTTCTCTTTCTACCTTTTTTTTGGTTTTAAGCTGTTACAGCTTTTTTGTTGAAGCTTGAATTTGTGAACAGGTAGCTTTGGCAATTTTGAGTTCACCTGTACATTGTTATTTTTGCAATTTTGAGTTCACTTGTACATTTGGGTTTATTAAAGTACATTTCATGAATGAGTCTACACATCAAAAGAAACTACACTAATTACTGAGACATTAAAAGCATGATGAAAAATGTTAAGAAATCGAAACCCTAGAAATCGAATCAGGGACGCATCTTCTTCGGCAAGGTTTCGGTTCAAATAAAGCTTATTCTCCATTTTCCAGCGAAGACTGAGTTTCTGGGATTTGGGGTTCACAAAGTTTCTGAGTTTTTGGGATTTGGGGTTTCTAGAGAATATGTGCACAAAGAGATTAGGGCGTGTGAGAGTGAAAAATAAAAGGGTTTTGCTCTGATATTTGTATCCCTCTTCATCGGAGTCGGAGTGGAACTGGAGGTGGGAGCCGGCGGAATCAGAGTGGGAGGGAGAGGCGTGCTTGGGAAGCTGGTGGAGGCGGAAGCTGATGTGTCATTTTAATTTTTTTTTAATATTTACACAGTGTAACATCCACGTATTCATCAAACTTGACAACTCAATAAGGTTGTGCCACAGTGACATTTGCACAGTTAGATTTTTAACGGTGTGAGCGAAAAGGACCAGACTGAACATTTTTTTAACAAATTATGGGGTCTTACTGAACTTTTTTGAAAGATAGGATCATTTTGAATCAAACCCATAAAAGTAGGGACCAAAATAGGTATTAAACCAATATTTTTTTATTGGACCCATATTTTAACAACTTTTTCAAAATGAATTAGGAGTGGTCCATATATTTGAAACGGACCAATCATAAATAATATTTTTCTTTTTTATTTTTACATTTTTTTTAAGGAATATGCTCATCTTGTTCTGATTTTAAAGTTCGTCAAACATGGCTGATTCGTTGCATTCAAATTTGGAAGTAGGTCAAAAGGTTTCCTTTGGAGGGTTCTCAATCCGTGATATTCAGTTGGTGATTAGTTGTTGAAGTTAGCCACGATATCTTCCCATGCTCTCCATGAAAGGGGAGATTATTTATTGAACGGTACGAAAACAAAATTAGTTTTATTTGAATTTCTTTTTATAAAATTCCTACCCGAATAAATCCTTTTAGTATATGATATTTAGCCTGTGTTTCTATGAATATACTATTTATAGAGATGAAAAGAAGATAAAAGTGTGAAATACGAGACATAAATTACGAAACACGATGTAAATTTTCAACGATAAAGTTTCCAGGTTTTTCAGAAATGATTTGTGAAAAAGCTGTAAAATAATAGATTGTTAAAAAACGTAATAGATTATTATTTTATGTTTGTATAATTAATAAAATTATAAATGATACGATAACCTTTTTAGTAATGATCAATTTAATACTTCATTAATATATACTTTTATATTATAGTAAAATAAATTAATAATAAATAAATAAAATAAAATAATTTAATGTTTACTAATATATGTTTTATATAACATATATAAAAAAAATAAAAATATTAATATTAAAATAACAAATAAATTGATATAATTTAACTCATTTAAATTTTGATATTTTATTTTTTTATTTGTTTTTATTTTGATATGTAATTTTTATTTAGAAATTAAAAGTTTTATATTATTTTTTAAAATTATTTGAATTGTAATATATATATATATATATATATATATATATATATATATATAATTTCAATGTATTTTAATATATTTTTATTTTGAGAATTATTTTTAACATTTTAATTTAAAATTTATTTTAACTTTAATTTATATTTTTATCTTCCAATTTTATCAATTAAAACAATTTTTATCGATAGATAAATTATTCGTAAACTTTTACAAAACTTCTTATTTTTCTTTATTTCTCACAATTTATTTCTTAATCTAAACAATTTTACTTTTATTTATTTTTTTTCTCAAATTCACTTCTTTCCAGTTTTTCAAATGTATCTTTCAATCCTAACAGAAACTTAAATCTAAACAGAACCTTAAATCCATACACAAGCTTATATAAATCCAGAAAAAAGAAAAAAGAAAAAAGGGTAAAGTACTTTCCAACCCTAGGTCCTACGTCATTCTCAATCCAACAACGTCTTCCTCTCTTGTTTTCGATCTCTTAAATGGATTCCATCATTGCACATCACCCATCTTATAGTTTGCGGGAGCACATGTGATAGACTATTTTCTTACAAAAACAAATACGAGAATAGACAGATTTAAAAAACATTACAAAAATAGGTAAATTGTGAAATTTTATATAATTTCATAAGAAGAAGTCGTGTATCTCTTAAATAACTTTAAATTTATTATAGTCGAAAGGTTAAAATTATCATGTTTCTATAACTTTAATACTATGTAATTGATTATAAGAATTGATAATTGTTTCAGTATGTAAGTAGGTAGGGTTGAGAAACATATTTTCACAATTTCACCTTATTTTATCTTTTCCTTCAAGTCTATCTTCTTTGTCTTTATACAATCCAAATCCAAGCGGTACGTAAGTGGTAAAGATATTCCGAATTTCAAGTCAGATTTTGATTAACGAATAGTAGTTACAATTAGGTATCCAAATTCAATCAATTTAACACTTTACCTCTTTAACTTATCTCAGTATTTATAGGTTTCGTTATAAGCTTTTAACTTATCTCAATATTTATGGCTCAATATCATTAAGGTTTGCTTTTATCTACTTAATCCATAAATTAGATAAATGCACAAAACGGTCTCAAAATTTATCTCAACCATTGGATCAACACGATATACTCTTTCTTAAAGTTGCTTTATTAGATGACATATCGATCGATTGATACAATACAATAATATAAGTTGAAGTCGTGTGCAGTAGATGACTTCAAAGTTAAAGTTGCGTGAGGATAAACAATTTCAAAATTAAAATGTGTGGAAATATATCATTTTAACTTTTCATATATAACAATCTCTCACATAGTTTAAAAAGTGAAACGAATTTCGTGTGAAAACTTCACCACTTATCTGTTTTTATAAATTTATTTAAAATCTGTCTATTATTATTGTAATATATGAGACAATTTTATCTATTCTCAAAAATCTGTGATAGATATTATGGATGGACAAAGATATTTAACTTTTTCGGTTTCTAACAACTATTGTATAAGAAAAGTGCAATGAATAATATTAGTGGGAATATTTGTAAATGCTGGCGGGTGCTGTATTCGTAATTGCAATCATGGGATAGGGATAACTTGGTAGTGCTGCCATGCACCCAGATTTCATATTTTTCAACATTTCTGTCTTTCTCTCCATTTTTTTTTCCAGCCATGATATCCTCTTGTCGATAAAACATCACCGGACAAAAATATCGAATAATGGAGTTTGTTTCTTTAGATTATGTGGGGACAAAAACTACTATACAATTACTAAACTAGTTTCTACTTAGTAAATTTGTTGTCGGAGTAAATTACAAGTGTCTAATACTAATCCTACTCAATAGTTTTGATTTGTCACCTTCTTTTGACTCGAGAATCATCAAGTCACATTCTGTCTCGTCCAGTGGCCATGATTTTGGACATATGGGTTTTGAATATTGTGTATCCTGAGAATTGAAATTAGCATATTCTCATTTGGTGCGCCACTATTGCCACCAAAACTTGTTTGTTCTGGCTCTTCTGGGAGTGATATTATGCAATTCTTATTATTGGTATGGTGTTGTACCAAAAAATGAGAGTGATGGAAGGTTTAGTGAAGATGTTGTGAGTGAGGAAGTGGAAGTTGGTGATGTGAAATGGTTGGCTGGGATATCTCTATCAATTGCCAATGTCTGCAACTTCAACAGTATTGCATATATATGTCCCACACTTTCATCACCCTCCAACGACAAAGGTACGAATTCAAAGGACCATCGTATCACCTCACTGTCCTTATTTGCTTCCATCACACCACTTTATAGGTTTAAAGAGGATTACCAATGGTTACAATCCCATAAGCTTGTGGATCTTTATATGGTATTCAATTTTCACATTTTTACTTTACTTAATTAATATTTAGGTTTATATATTTAGATTTTCCAACAAAACTCTTTCCTAAAATTATCTTATTTTCATTTGAAAGAAAACAACTCGGAAACCATTTTCAATATTACAAAAACCCTTTTTCACATAAGAAACACAGAAGCGTGACAAAAAGAAGGAATGTGTTGGGTACAAACAAAGTCTCACATTAAATAAAATAAGAGATGGACGAGTTTATATACACATAAGATACCGTCATTGGTAAGAGATCTTTTGGAATGGTACCGAAAACAAATCCGTAAGGACTTGACCCAAAACAGACAATATCTTACCAGTATGAAGATCCATGTGTATGTGTGTGTTGATCCTTCCTACAAAATGATGAGACAACTAAAGTAAAGATTAGGAGATCCAAACATGTCCTACACCTATTTTTTTATGCAAGAATCCCTAGATTCGAAGTAGAAAGGAAGTTCCTCTAAGTGATTTTGGTGATTATTGTTAATCAGTTTCGGATTAACAAAAGAAAAAAAAACATCTTTTCAGAAAGCTTGAAGCATATGTGCTACCCACAACTTGCTTTTATTTTATTTTCACATTAATATACTTAATTAGCTTATATATTTCTCTATATTCCTTTTCCGGTAGAATATCCTAAAACAGTTATCTCTTTAATTTATAAAAACAAATCTCTTGCGAGTGCTTTTGCTTTTCATATTTATTTTCCTCTTCTCTATTTCATAAAATTCGTTCCAATTTACTAACAATTCCAAGTTCGTTTATCTTATATTTATTTACTAACATATTTATTTCCTGCTACTTATTTTTATAGAACACAATTTGTTTTAGCTCATCGTGACAGGAGATATAACAATACAACAAAGTTATTAATATGTTTGGTTGAGAAATTTTTATAGGGTAACTGTTTTAGAATTTGAAATATTTTATAACAAGATGTGTTATCTGTGTAAGGAATTTTAAAAGAAATTTAAATTATAAAACTTTATTAAAGTATTTGGATTGTTTGAATTAGATAATTTCAAATTCAATCTAAAATTAAAAATTAAAAATTATTCATGTTCAAATTCACATTTTCATCTTAGTATTTTTTCTTTTAACTCAAGCTAGTTTTGACTTAGGTAAGATCAAGTTGGTTTAGACTTAAATTGAGCTTAGTTGACTTGAATAACGGTAAATTTCGTGTCCGTCTAAACATAAATTCAATCAAATTAGCTTAGGTTCAAATCCAGTTGATTTCATCTAGGTCTAAATCAAGTCGAGATAACTTAAACTAAGATTGAATTGGGATGACTCGAATTGAGATTAATTTAAGTAGTTTTAAAAATTAGCATTCATTAAATTTGAATTGCCTTATTAAAAAAACATTAAAAATAATAATTTGAAATGAGATCAACTCAAATTTAATATTGTCAAAGTTATAAAATTTCATATGCAAACATAAGAGAAGTATCATAAATAATTTTTCCAATCCTACAAGAATTTACGATAAACAATAGTATAATAAAAAAATGCATTAATGATTATAAAAGAAAACAAATATTTTTAAGTGGAAAATTATCTTAATACAAGTTAGTTAATCAAACTTTACCAAAATCAAATATAAATATTTTTTCAGTATGCCCAATAGCCTCACGTCTTAGGATTCGAGACTATAGACAGTTTAAATACTTCTTCCTCCTTTCACCTTTCAAGACCCATTTTAAAGACAAAATTGGGATGAAATTTCAGGCTCTAAAGCGGACAATATTACCTCGTATTTATGGTGATTGATATTAGCAATAACAATCGACGGACTTGAAATTGGAACATTAGAACATTTGGCACTCACCTTGAACTACGATAAACCTTTATCTTGACCTCACTCTTCTATGATCACAATCGCAATTGAGAATTTGTTAGTATTCAATCGTACAGTTAAAATACTTAAATCTTGTTACTATACCCAAAAATCATATTTAAGATTTCGATAAAAACAAAAACAAATGTAATAAGAAAATAAGATCAAATGTGCAAACAAATACCCACAACCATTCAATAAATAAAAACAATAACTCTTCAAATTTTGAATAATAAAAAAAAAAACCGAAAACTAATTTCTTCAAATCACAAGCTTTCAATCACGATATTGCAACTTTTAAAATAAAAAACAATATAATATAAGCCTATTATCAATTTTTCACTTCGATCCAATATGGTAAAAAATTAAAATTTGACTTAAACTATCTAGTAAATATGTGAACCATTTTTTTTTCTCTCTCTTATTTTTCGCTCCAAAAATGTGCGAGAACTAAAACACTTGTACTTGTTTAAAATAAATTATTTAATACTTGAATATAAACGTATTCCGACAACTTTAATATTCTTTATTCTAATAAAACAGACTTAATTATTATTTATCTTATTTGATGGCGGATTTCATATATTCTATTTACCTTGGTTGGTTAGTGTCATTTTATACTGCAACGAGAACATTTTTTTTTTAGGGTATCATGCAATGTCTACTTTAAAGCGTCATTTTTTTTTATTTTATTACATCAAATTATATTCTTACACATTCCATAAAAGCTTCACCACTGACTTCAAATTCTCTCCAATTTGAATTTTTTAATTTCTAAGGATAGCTTTTATTTGTAGTGATTCATCAATATTCGGATAAGGATAAACCATCAAATGTATGGTATATGTATTTTAATCATTGTTATACTCTTAATCAAACATTAACAACAGGTCCAATTAATTAGAAAAAGGTCATTATCATTCTGGCCGTTGTAAAAGAAATTCTCCACACTCGCTAGACAAAACAAGAAAGGGAAAATTCACAAATGAAGTTGGCATCTAGTTCTACAATCGCTATATCAATACCTAACCCAATTGAAAGTGGGAAGATGATAAAATATTATAAATATTTTCAAATATTCTACGGATATATAGTTTAACTTTGTAGGGATACACAATAACGAGAAGAATAAAAATAGTAAAAGGGTTCCCAAATATATTAAAATTTCATATATATGAATTACAATTAACTAGTAAAAAAATTTAAATATATATAACTCAATTTTATAAAAATAATTTAGTAATATGAGATTTGTTTTCATTTATATAAATTAATTTTATTTTTAGTTTATAAAAGAATCTATAAATTTATTATTTATAATTTTTGAATTGAAAATAACATTTTAATCTTTTATATAAATTATAAAACTCTAAAAGATGGTATTTTAGAAGTGATAGATAGTTTAAAAATGTTTATATTTATAGTAGATTGATGTCGAATGTCTCATGAAAAAATCTAAAAAATCTCTTATTAGACTAAATTTATTCATTAAATAATAAATGAATAAAGCTTATTTATGAATACCTTTATGTTATTTCTATAAAAATATACTTTCACGGCAGGTATTTTGAACGAAATATTAAAACAGTGTCTTTTTCCTTTGAATCGTGGTTGAGTTTTAGACAGCAAACGGGGGTGGTAATAGCAAGACATTGGGTCCTGTGTCCTGGGCCGAGGACCAAGGCGGAATTCAAGTCACGTGGGTCGAAGAAAAAAGTAAGCCGTGTGAGGAAGTTGAGGTGGGTATATAGCCACATAGAGCGAAGAGGTGTCAGCAGGACGAGGCGCCACGTGTACGCTGTTGCTTCTCGCCCTCAGCACTTTCCAGTTAGTTTAGTAGAGACTGTCTTTCATGAACCTTCTCTCGCCGTTCCTAATTCTCCTTACAAGCTTCCTTTCCTAAGTAACATTCGAAACAAAAACTCAATTCAATTCCATTACCATCAAATGAGGACATTGCTTTCGCGCTTGATCCACTCCACGCCTTCCATTTCCAGGCTCAAGTATGCTTTCTATTCTTTCCAATCGTTATGTTCAGTAATCGTGTCGTTTTTTGTTGTATACTCAATTCGATTATCTGCTCCTCGTTGATATTTTCTATTTTATATTCATATAATTTTTTAAGTTTCTGTAACTACCTGGTTGAAATGAAATTGAGCTCTACCAAATTAGCAATGCTGTACATGATATGCGATGGAGGATAGCCGCTACAATTTAATTGCGCCATGAGTTTAATTTTTCTTTATGGAATTCACTGCATTAGGTTTCGGTACGAATGTGATTTGAATTTTATGTTGATTGTCTTCATGATTTGTAAATTATTGATTAAGTCGTTTCACGGTGTTATCCTTTTCTTCTTACCTTGCAGTACAACGGCAGTGTCAGTCAGCGGGAGAAATCTCTGCACAGATTCTAATAAAGTTGATGAGCCATTCAAAACTGAAGAAGCAGAGACTGTAAATGTGCCCCCACCCCCAACAGAAAAGGTATTCTGCCACGATAATTATATGTGGAACATTTATTTTTCTACCAGTATCTGGCTTTCTAACCTAAAACTTGTGTTGGGTTTTATGAAAGTTGCTTGTTTTGGGAGGCAATGGATTTGTCGGATCACACATTTGTAGAGAAGCCTTAGAACGTGGCTTATCTGTTGCTAGTATTAGCAGGTTTGATGTTTTTTCTCATTGGACAAAACTTGATGTAATTATGTAGGCGTTTTAGGTACTGTTCTTCAATCAGAATTGAAATTTCATCTCGTTAATCTATTATAATGTTTGCATTAGAGGAATGCATTATTATATAACCACATCTATGTTTTCTTCTTCTTCATATATTTTTGTATTATTATCGATCTGTCATTCTTTATGTATTGTCACTCTAAATTGTGAACAGCTTTTCATATTTATTATTAAACATTTTTCTTCTTGTAACGTATCTTCATTACCAATAACTCCATGTCTTACTTCCCAGGTCTGGCAGGTCATCCCTGCATGATTCCTGGGCTGGCAATGTTACTTGGTATAAAGGTCTGTTTTTTTTTTCTTATTCTTTTTAGCATTTTCTTCTAGACAAAATCTTAGTGGGACACTACAATAGTCTAACGTCTATATTGTCTTCTAATAATTAGGGAATATCCTTTCAACTGATTCATTGAAAGAAGCTCTAAATGGGGTCACTGCTGTTGTAAGTTCCCCTTGTTTTGTTATAATGCATATTAAAAATTTAGTCACAAGTCCTTTCCCCTTTAGTTTATTATAATGCCTGGTAAATATTTTACAACTTAGAGGCCCAAAAGCCTAGTTTGTTTTATTTATTTTTTGTTTCTTGTGCTATTACAACATGTTGCATTAGATTTTGAACAATTTGTTTGGTGACATGTTTTGATCAGTTTGTTGAGACTAAATATCTCACTTTTATTCTCTTCATGGGATAAGCTAGGTAAAGTGGTTGGAGCGTAGCCTCTATGAGTTTTAGATAATGTTGATGATAATGATTGTACAGTTTGGTTGCAAATTATGGTTCTAACAGATTATAAGGAAAGAAACAGAAGTGGGTTTTTGTGATTGATTACAAGATAATTTGGGTTGAGAGAATTATAGTAACCATCCTGCACACATGGCACTAACTGACCTAATGTGTCTAAATTTTGTTGGTTAGGATACAGAATTATACGTATATATATGTTCCTTTTTATGATAAGCCTATTGTGCTAACTTGTGTTTCTTTTGTAAGATCTCGTGTGTTGGTGGTTTTGGCTCCAACTCATACATGTACAAAATTAATGGGACTGCTAACATCAATGCAATTAGAGCAGCTTCAGATCAAGGTAATTGAGGAATTCAAACTTCTATTCTTAATAATTGCTTGTTCAATTCTTACCATTTCTTATGAAATGACTATCTACCTCAAGTGTTTGGTACATTCAAGCCATCGGATTCTTCAAATTTAAACTCGTTGAGGAGTTGCTTTATCGATATGAGTTCACAAATAACCAATGTCATTGTCCTATACTCTATTATGCTCATAATCTTGGCTCAACAATTTGTTTCTTAATTTTACATGATAGAAAATTAAATCCAACAGGAACACAGTTTCTTGAAGTGGAGGGTGTATTGCTTGGTGACCCTGACCCTGACCCTACCCAAAACTTTAGAATATCTAACAATTTGAGTATTTCCGTTATCTTCATAATTTCCATGATCATTCTTAACATACTTTAGGAGTTGTATGACTGCATCCTGATGTTCTCAACAAGGGGAGTTTAATAATTGACTTACCACTCTCACTACAAATGCAATGTCAGAATGAATCACTGTGAGGTAATTTGACTTACCAACTAACTATTTGTATGTCACTGGGTCAGAATATGGCTCTCCTTGATCAGGTATAACTTTGACACTCGAATCCATTGGTGTTTCCCTAAACATAACATTTAACATCCCTGTTCCTTCTAGAATGTCACTGGCATATTTTCTCTAACATATGACTAACCCTCTTTGGATTGTACAACTTTTATACCAAGAAAATACCTTAAATGTCCAAGATCTTTTTGTCAGAAACCGTTAAGCAATGTATTGTTTTAATTGGACAATACCCACCTTATCACTAGCTATGATAACAATGTTGTACACATATACAATGAGATAGATACTTAGGTAGGGAGAATGATGATAAAATAGAGAATGAACAACATCACTTTGTATCATTCCAGATTGTTGGATGACAGGCCAAAAATGCTGAAATCATGCACAAAGTGATTTCTCGAGGCCATACAGGGACCTTCGTAGATGAAATACCATATCAGACTACTCCTTCTAAGCAACAATTCCAGTAAGTTGTTCCATGTATACTTCCTCATCACAATCACAGTGTAGAAAGACAATCTTGATGTCAAACTTAAATATAGTCCAGTGATGAATGGTCACAATGGAGAAGAGAAGTTGGATAAATATCATTTTGGCAATATGAGAAAGTGAGTATAATCTTATCATAGATTTGTGTTTATTCTTTGGCAACCATACAAACTTTATAGCGATCAATTTTACCATTAGTCCCTATTATAAGAGTACTCGGCATTGAAACGACACCCAATAATTGATTTGTTAGTTGGAAGAGAAACCTCTTCCATGTACCACTAAGGATACGGATCTCTTCCATCATTGCTTTGGCCACTCTGGATGAGATAAAACTTCACCTAGAGACTTAGGAATAAGAACTAAATACATCAAGGACAAACAAATATAAAAAGGTATGGAGGAAAGTCAATGATAATTGAGGTTAGTATAGTGAGGAGAATGGTTACAGGTACACCCGGTAAACCATATATTAGATATGTGACATCGAAGTCAATGTCCCTTGGGCCTAAGGAAAAAATTGAGATTCAAGCAAATGAATTACCCATGTGTACCACCAAGGCCATAAGATGGTAATGTAGGAGCAACAGGAGACTTGACAATAGACGTCTAGACAATATTAGGTGAACAAGGAGGGTTTCTCATGTAGCTTCCAACACTTATTAATGGTATGTGTAATGTGGTGACAATGTTCACATTTTGGACGAATTTTAAAATTACTTGTGCAAAAACATCCAAAACTATTACTCTATGATCCAAAATTAGTACTCTTTTGCCAACTATGTCATATTACTTAAGATTGAAAAGAAATAATTCTTGAGGGCTTAATTGATCCCTCTCACAATCTTCTATTTATA